TCACCACTTGGGCAACCTCAGTCGACGTGTCCGAAGCAAACTGAGGGGTAGCTGGAATAGGGGAAGGATCGTTGGAGTTCGAATAATGCTCGCCACGCCGTCCATATATTGCGTGGGACGGGAATGATCCAGAAGGGTACCCCACTGCAAAATAGACAGTTAAACACTGGTTAGTCTCGATTATAAAAGGAAATTGAACTCATCTTACAAATAGCTAAGATAGAGTCATTGCCTTATAAAGGGTGAGACGATTTGGCCACATTGTGCAATCACAAAACAGGGTATGTCGACAACATATCCCTGCCTTATAAAACGCAATGTAGTGTCAAATCGCCCCCTTTAATTTTGAGATATGGTTTTGACCAAGCAAAACATATCTTTGAAGCGTCGATCCTCACCAAGGAGAATCAAGGCTCTTCCCGATTGCCTCGCCAAGGAGAACAACGTGGGGTTTAAAAAAGGGTCAATTTACAAATTTATAAGAAAAAAAAGGGTTTATTTGCAAAAAGTAGCTCACCAGCATAAGAGGGAGGCGCGCCATCAACCGACATGGCAGGGGAACGACCTCTCGAGGCGCGAGACATGACGGCCTGCAAAATAACTCAAAGGGTTAGATTCAAAAAATAATTTCAGCCCTAATTTTTGCATAAAAACCCCTCAAAATTGCATTTTTACCCCCCTGAAAGATTAGCTCGAGGCATCAAATCACACCCTCAAATGCATGAATTAAATTGAGCATGAAAAAGATCCAAATTGTGGAAGATTTACCTGAAGAAAGGCTCGAGATCCAATAAAAAATGTGATCTTTAAGGAAACTTGAACCACGCGCTCGAGGGGCCTGAGAGAAATTCCAAATATGGAGTTTTTGAGTGATTTTTCAGTCCAAGATCCAAAGGAACCCTAGATCTAGGATAACTATCAAGGTTTCAAGGCGAATGGAAGCTTGAGGGAAGAGAAATCAAGAGAGGGGAGGGGAAAGTTCGGCCGGCCCTAGAGAGGAAAAAGAAAAGAAAAAGAAAAGAAAAAAAAGACCCCTCTTATAGCCTTGAACCAGATTGGGCTGAACCAGACCAGACTGGGCTGAACCAGACCTAGCCAGATTGGACCAGGTTGAGCCAGATTGAGCCAAACTGAGCCAGAATGAGCCAAATTGAACCAGATTGAACCTGGCTAGACCAGATCAGATCAGAATGAGCCAGAATGGACCAGAATGAGCCAGAATGGACCAGTTTGAACCAAATCCGAACCAGAATTCAAATTGAAGCAGAATTGAACGTCGAAACAACTTCAAATCGACCGAAGGTTCGATCATTAGTTTATTCTTGCCTCTCCCACATGTTTGGAAGGGTTGGGAGACTTTTTGCACCGAATTACTGCCTTATTTGGCTCATTATTAGGCCGATTCAGCTTATTATCGGACCGGTTCAACTCATTTGGATACGGAAATACTCCAATAAGGTATACGAGTTTAAACTATTCCCTCCTCTTTGTTGAGAAGTTTCTGGAGAATATTTTTCTAAAAATATTCTTAAGGATAACTCAATAACACGACGCCGGACAACGCGTCACAAATGAAGACTCAATGCTAACAACCGAGCGTTAGTTGTACGTCGAACCAATAAGCACGAGCTAAAGACTGGAAAATCAGGAATCGACTTCAAAGTTCAAATTCCAACAACGGTCAGACAATAAATGCAGCACCGGAACCCCTACAGGCATTCTACAAAGCACTGAATGGCCCGAAGGATTGAAGGAATACAGAACAAAAGTCATTTCCAGGTCCCGTTACACCGACAAAGGGTAGGGGCAATCATATCCAAAGCATTCCAGACTCTTCTATAAAAGAACGAGGCTGAAAAGCTTTGGAGGGGGTATCTGTAGGCGTATAAAACTGCTTATAGGTCCCTTGACACAGCTCGGCGCGATGATTCGACAAATCGACGAACGTTCAAGCAACGAAACGAACTAAAGAGGCTACAAAGCTAACGAACTGCATGTGAACAACGTTAGTGGTTCGGGGAGTCGACGGGTCTTCCAACAAAGTGGATTTGAACTCAAACACCGACTGAGTTTACTGCCAAATCCGGAATCAAGTCAACAAATCAACAAAACAACCGAACAACGGACAAAACAACCGGAAACAACGGAAAACGACAAAACCAGCGCACCTGGGGGAACTCGGCCCGAACCGAACCACCCTAAGGTGGCTCGGCCCAGGCCGAGCCACCCTGAGGTGGCCGCCCAGATCTGTGCCAAATGCACAGATCTGGTTAAATCGGGCCCGAGGTGGCTCGGCTCATGGTCGACCCTGAGGTGGTCTCGCTGCAGCCACCCTGGGCTGGTCGGCTTTGGCCGAGCCACCTCAGGTGGCCCCGGCCCTTGGCGACCCCCGCTAGTGGTCGGCTCGGCGAGCCACCCGGTTGGCCTTCGTAGGCCGAGTCCCCGGGTGTGTTCCGTTTGCCATTTCCCGGTGTTTTTCAATATATCAGTTCATCGATATTGATCGTCCGCGACTTTGATTTTGAATAGCGGGGTCTTTATTTGCCAGGTATTTCCACGCGTCGATGTTTGTAACAAATCCATTTTGTCGTGGAGACCGTCGTTGACTTTCCGAACAGTGATGTGGTGTGTTGTGGTGGGTTATGTTCGTTGACGGACAGAATGAGTCATGGCGGGTGTTCCGGTTGGTGGGTTGTTGGTTGTTTATCGCCCTCTCGCTCGACCATCTCTTGATTTGTCGAACATCATGCCGAGCCATGCTAAGACCATAGCCAATTTAACGCCTAAATCCCCTAACCAACATGAGTAGATAAAACTTGAGACCATCCAATTAAATTAAACAATAAGTTTCTTCTTCTCTCTCCTTCTCTCTCTTTCTCTATTCTCTTCCTCTTTTGTTTTAGCCACCCTCAGGTGGCCCGACTCCCCCCCCCTCCCTCTCTTGTGCACAAAGGCACAGTTCAGAGAGGCTATAAATAGGGGGGGTGGTTGTTCATTTGAGGGGACTTCTTCTTGAACTTTTGGAGAGCCGAAACTCTGCCGGATTGTCACCTCAACTCGGAGATCTGAAGGCTTGAAGACTTGGAGACTTGGATTCGATTCTTAGCGAGCACCCGCACCGAAAAAGGCAGGAGTTCGAGAGAGTCTAATCCTCAGATCTACGTCGTCACACTCCGGATCTAAGCTTGGTTCTTAGATCCCGAGATTCGAGCGGTCGTTTCCTTGGTGAAACGATCCCTCCCGGCTATTATCTCCTTGGGGGGATAATACCCGTAATACGTCGTAGATCTGCTTGGATCCAGATCACACGGTGGTCCACGGTAAGCAACCCCGGCGCAGGCAAACAACCCACAAAGCGAGTGACCGGATAACAGGAGCTCGTGATTTGTTCGGTAAAAGAGAGAAGTTGTAATTTTGATTTCTTTGTTTTATTTTGATTTTCATTGTAAGCCGGATCTTATAAAAAGACCGGATCTCTTTGTAACGCATAAAGTTGTTAACTGAGTGCAATGACATCGATAACGAAGAAAACACCAACTTTTCCCGCGAACAATCTGGCGACCACAGTGGGAGCCACCGATCTCACTGCTGAGATCGGAGCGTCGCAGCCGCGGATCTTGATCCCGGTCGTGGAGGAGGTCGAGTATGAGTTCGACCAACAAAAGTACGAGGAGTATGTGTCCTCGTCTGGATCTACCTCCTCCCCCAAGTCCAAAAAGTTCCAGAAGTTCTCCTCCAGGAGAAAAGTCCGTTGGTGCGAAGAAGTTGAAGCCACCAACGACAACCTCACCCCGATCGACGCAGAAGTTGCGTTGGGTGATGTCCTACCGGCCTCGAAGCAGGTCAAATCCGCCGTTGAAGGCGTGGTGACTCTTTCTAAGAGAGCTCGCCAGAGGCAACGTCAACGCCTCGCAAAGCAGTTCGCCAAGGCCATGGAGTCCGTTGACGGGGTCCGCTACAACGCAGATCTGAAGAACAAACGAGGCAAGCAGCCTCAACAACAATTAAAGGATGGTTCCTCCAAGCCATCCGCAGATCTGAAGAACAAACGAGGCAAGCAGCCTCAACAACAATTAAAGGATGGTTCCTCCAAGCCATCAACTATGGAGTGGGTTCGTGTTAAACGGAACCGCTCGACGCTGGAGGAACGTATCCGCAAGCGCCGCGCCTTGTCTGCGCAAGCGCGGGCTAAAGCTGAAGAAGCCCGTCGCAAGCTACAGCGTGAGGTGGCTAAGAAGCAACCATCGACTCGCAAGGTTTGGAGGCCGAAGTCTGGAGCGATTCAGACTAAGGAGCAAAATCCGCAACCTTCAAAGGCTCAACACCCGGCAAATCAATCCAAACAGCCAGTAATTTCTGCAACTACTCCGGGAGATCCTGCAGGACCATCCCAGAAGAGAAAGTCAGTTTTGGAGCGCCTCGGTCCAATTCCCGAAGAACGAGGTAAAGCTCCAGTCCAAGAACGCTTGGGACCAATGAAGGAGTCCCAAACAATATCACGTGCTGGAGGTCGCCGCAACCCGCAGCACTTGGAGAAAATTGTGGCACCCAAGCGCACAACTTTGCGCATAGAAGTGCAGGAGCCTGCTGAAGGTTCACGCTCACAAAGGCGCGTTTCAAGGCGTGCGACTCTGGATGGTCCGAAGAAGACAAGCCATCCTCAGAAGGAAATGTTGTCGTCTGATGACGACGACGTTATACCTGGGAGAACGTGCCAACACACGATAGGTTGCTCTAACCGTCAAACGGACGAGCTGTACTATTGTGCAGGGGGTACGAGTAAATCCAGAAAGAGGAGCCTTCAAAGATTAGAAGCTCAATGTCCTTGTTCGAAGCTTATTCGGGCGGTACTGTCAGAATGCAACTGTGTCAAGACAGTCCCCGAGAGGGTTTCAGTATTCGAGAGACTTAGTGTTGAAACGCCAAAACCAAGGCATAGGCGTTTCCAACGAAGAAGAATAGTGGTCAAAGACGGTGAACATTCGAAGGTCACCGCCAACATGACCAGCAGAGGGACATCGGTAAGAGATGATCTCGAGACAATTCTGAAAGCATCGCGACCTAGAACTCGTCTGCAGTCCGGAACTATACAGCGTGCAACGTATGGTAGGTTTCGGACAAGACTTCCTTCAGAAGATGAAGAATCAGATGCAGGCTCTGCAGTGGCGTCGGACAACACTGTATCCAGTGAAGGACAACCTCGCGAGGCACTTATGATAAGTGCGGAGCAAATAGCAAAGGTGATTGAAGACGCCTTAACTAAACAGCAGGAAACCTTCAGGTTCGAAATGCAGATGGCCGTGCAAAACATGAGAGAAATGCACGATCAGCAAATCCAGGCATTGACGAACCAGCAAGGCGAGCCAAGTCGTCGTGACCCGGTCAATCAGGAAGGCGAGGGTACAAATGCAGATCACAATGCCACTAATCCTCCCATCAATGCAGGGGGTGGTAACGAGAACGCCAGTGAAGATACAGGTGAAAGCTTAAAGCTTAAAAATCTCGAGAGCAAAATCAATACGTTGATTTCCGCTCAAGAGACAAAAAAGACAGGCATTCCTTGTCCTTACCCAAGGGAGTGGGAATCAATCCCATATCCGGCGAAGTTCAGTCTAATTAACTTCACGCCGTTTAATGGGATGGGTTCCCCTACTCAGCATTTGATATATTTCAAATCGCACTTGGGAGTCATCTCTGGTAATGAACCTCTGATGGTGCGGTCATTCGTTGGCACTCTTCGCGGAGCCGCCTTCGATTGGTATCGTCGCCTCAAGCCAGGGAGCATAAACAGCTGGGACGACATGGAGTCAAAGTTCCTCGCAAACTTTTTCGACGACGACACCTAAGTTTCTATCGGATCGTTGCTCGATGAGAAGCAGAAGGACGGAGAGTTGGTCGACACCTTCGTCAAGAGGTTCCGCAACAAGGCGATGAATTGCCGGGACCCGATCACCGAGGAGTTTATACTCCAGACCTGCCACAACAACCTCTCGCTGGACGTGTTGGAAGCAATGGGCACGGCACCATCCAAGACGTGGAAGGATTTGAAAGTCCGAGGGGAGCAAGCTGAACGGTTCATCAAAAGGAAGAAGGCGGAGAGAGGTCAACCGGCAACAAATCCTCCGAAGCAGAACTTCAACCAAAGAGGGAAAGGTAAAGCTCAGTTTAATGCTGTTGATGCTAACCAAACCTTTCAGCTGCAACCTCAGCAGAAGCAGCAGCAACAAGTCCCGCAAGCACCACAGCAAACCCGTGGGCAATGGCAACAACGGCCTCAGAAGCAGAAGTCTTCAGAGCCTAGGTTTCCAAAGACATACTCCTTCAAAGACGACGAAGTACCCGGCATTTTCAAATATTTGTTGGAGAACAACAAAATTCAGTTGCCAGCTGTAGGCGTATAAAATTGCCTATAGGTCCCGTTACACAGCTCGACGACGCCGATTCGACAGAACCGACCATCGGACGACGTATTCAAGCACGACCATTAGTCCGCAACACCGAAGCCGGATAATTACGCGACGAAGTGGGATAACGAGGCCACGAAGCCGACGAACCGCACGTAAACAATGGAATGGATCCACTCGCACGCGGAATCAAACCAATGTTTAGGGGAATCACCGAGTCATCTAAACAAGAGCGAACTCGGATAGATCACAATCAAATCAAGATCAATTCCAGACTCAAACTCAGAAGTGGAATTACTGCCAAATCTGGAATCAAGTCAACAAATCGTTTCCAGACCAATCAACCACACAACCGAACCGAAGGTCAAATCAACAAAGGATTGAACCACAAACGACGGAACCCGAAAACGACGAAACTGACAAACACCCGGGGACTCGGCCGAAACCGAGCCACCCACCCTGAGGTGGCTCGGCCAAGGCCGAGCCACCCATGGGTGGCTAGGCTCAGAACTGTGCAAATGCACAGTTCTGAGTGCCTATAAATAGGCCTTGTGCTCATTTGTTTCAGAGGTTGGAAATTTTGGAGAGAGGCGAAGCCCTGCTGGATTGAAGACTCAGATTTAAAAAAAAAGATCACTACTTTGAAGGCTTGGAGACTTGGACTTTCAGATCCGGTGCTCGGCGATCACCAACGCCAAATAAGGCAGGAGTTCGAGAGGATTGGATTTGAGATCTACACGATCACACTCCGGATCTAAGCTTGGTTCTTAGATCCCGAGATTCGAGCGGTTGTTTCCTTGGTGAAACAATCCCTCCCGGCTATTATTCCCTTGGTGGAATATTACCCGTCATATCGTGTAGATCCGACCGGATCGAGATCACGCGGTGGTCCACGGCAAATAACCCCGGCGCAGGCAAAGAACCCACACAAAGCGAGTGACCGCAAAACAGGAGCTCGCGATTCGTTCGACAAACAAGGAAACAAAGTTGTAATTTTCATTTCTTTTTATTTGATTTTCGTTGTAACCGGATCTTATAAAAAGACCGGATCTTTGTAATCGATAAACTATTACAAGAAGTGTACAACAGAATCATTAATGAAGAAGGCAACTGTTTTTCCCGCGAACAATCTGGCGACCACAGTGGGAGCCACCGATCTCGCCGACGAGATCGTTGCATCGCAGCCGCGGATCCTGATCCCGGTCGAGGAGGAGGTCGAGTACGAATTCGACTAACAAAAGTTCGAGGAGTATCTGTCATCCTCGTCCGAATCCACCTCCCCTCGCAAGTCCAAGTCTCCAAAGCCCTCTTCCAAGAGAAAACTTCGTTGGTACGAAGAAGTTGAAGCTGCCAATGAAGATCTCGCCCCGCTGAATGCCGAAGTCGCATTGGGTGAGATCCCTCCAATTTCCAACCAGGTCGGATCTACTCTGGCCAACCCTTCTGCCGCAGGGGGCGTAGTGACTCTCTCGAAGAGAGCCCGCCAAAGGCAACGGCAACGCCTTGCGAAACAATTCGCAAAGGCCATGGAATCTGTTGACGGAGTTCGCTACAAGGCGAATCTGAAGAACAGAAGAGGCGAACGACCTCAACAACCGATGAATGGCAACTCTTCAAAGCCGCCAACGAACGAATGGATCCGCGTCAAACGGAACCGATCAACGCTGGAAGAGCGCATTCGCAAGCGCCGCGCACTATCAGCGCAGGCACGGGCTCAAATTGAAGAAGTCCGTAGTAGGCTGCAGAAGGAGGTGGCAAAGAAACCGCCCCCAACCCGCCAAGTATGGAGGCCGAAATCTGAAACGGCGATTCAGGTTAAGGCACAATCGTTACAGCCTTCGAAGCAGGTTCAATCTCCGGCGAGCCAACTCAAATCGCCGATAACCCCTACAATTGCTCCGGGAGATCCTGCGGAACCATCCCGAAGAAGGAGGTCAATTTTGGAACGCCTCGGTCCAATCCCCGATGAAAGAGGCAAAGCTCCAATTCAAGATCGTTTGGGCCCGATAAAAAAGCCCCGAACGACTCAACATGCTGAGGGTCGCTATCATTCTCAGCATGACAAGGAGTTCAAGGCTACTGCGCGCGCCAATTTGCGCATCGAAGTCCAGGAACATGCTGAGAAGTCATGCCCGCAAAGGCATGTTTCGAGGCGTGTAACTCTTGAAAGCCCAAAGAAGGCGATTCGCTCCCAGAAGGAAACGTTGTCATCCGATGACGATAACGTTATACCTGGGAAATCATGCCAACACGCGATAGGTTGCTCCGACTTTCATACGGACGAGCTGTACTATCGTGCTGGGGGTACGGGCAGAGCCAAAAAGAGGAGTCCTCGAAGGCTCGAAACTCAATGCCCCTGTGCCAAGCTCATTCGGGCGGTATTATCGGAATGTAACTGCATCAAAGCAATCCCCGAAAGAGTCTCGGTGTTCAAAAGGCTCAGCACTAAAACGCCAGAGCCAAGGCCTAAGCGTTCCCGACGAAGGAGAGCGGTGGTTGAAGATGGAGAATTTCCAAGGGTCACCGCCAATGTGACCAACAAAAGGACTTCAACACGGGATGATCTCGAGTTGATTCTGAAATCATCCCGGCGTCTAACCCGTCTGCAGTCCGGAGCCATCGCGCGAGGGACTTATGGTAGGGTCCGGATAAGTCCACCTTCAGAAGATGAGGAATCAGATGCATGCTCTGCGGTTGCGTCTGATAACACCGTATCCAGCGAAGGAGAACCCCGCGAGTCATTCATGATAAGCGCGGAACAAGTGGCCAAGATGCTCGAAGATGCTATGGCCAAACAGCAAGAGAACTTCAGACTCGAGATGCAGATGGCCATGCAGACCATGAAGGAGATGCATGACCAACAAATCCAAGCACTGATGAATCTCCAAGGCGAACCGAGCCGGCGTAATCAAGTTGTTCAGGATGTTGAGCATACAGATGCGGATGAAGCTCGCAACGCTGACGACCCTCCCATCAACACAGGGGGTGGTAATGAGGATGCCAATGGGGATACAAGTGAAGACTTGAAGATCAAAAGCCTCGAGAGTAAAATCAATACGTTGCTGTCTGCTCAAGAAGTGAAGAAAACGGGCATTCCTTGTCCATACCCAAGAGAGTGGGAATCAATTCCCTATCCGGCGAAGTTTAGTCTAATCAACTTCACGCCATTCGATGGAAGGGGTTCCCCCACCCAGCATTTGATTTATTTCAAATCGCACCTGGGTGTTATCTCTGGCAACGAGCCTCTAATGGTGCGGTCATTCGTTGGCACTCTTCGCGGAGCCGCCTTCGATTGGTATCGTCGCCTCAAGCCAGGTAGCGTTAGCAGCTGGGACGACATGGAGACCAAATTCCTCGCTAATTTCTTCGACGACGACACCGAGATATCCATCGGAACGTTGCTCGACGAGAAACAAAAGGACGGGGAATTAGTCGAAAACTTCGTCAAGAGGTTCCGAAACAAGGCGTTGAATTGCCGAGACCCAATCACGGAGGAATTCATTCTCCAGACCTGCCATAACAACCTTTCGCTGGACGTGTTGGAAGCAATGGGAACAGCGCCGTCCAACACCTGGAAAGACTTGAAGGTCCGAGGGGAGCAAGCCGAACGCTTCCTCCGAAGGAAGAAGGCTGAAAGGAACCTACCGACGGCTAATACTCTGGACTCAAACTTCGCCTCTCGTGGTAAGGGCAAGGCACCTGCAGCTGCTGGTGGTGCTAATCAAACGTCGCAACAGCAGTCCCGGAGACAACAGAAGACTTCGGATCAGAGGCCTCAAAAAGAGTACTCTTTCAAGGACGAAGATGTTCCAGCCATCTTCGAATCTCTCCTTGGGAGCAACAAGATCAAGCTACCACCTGTCACAAATCAGGAGGA